GCTTTGAGCTCACTTTGTAGCCTAGGCTGGTCTTGAACTCACAAGGATCTTCCTGCCTCAGCCTCTAGAGTGCTGGGATTACAGGTGTGTGCCACCATGCCTGGCCTGTCTCACTATTTTTTGTGCAGGCTGATGTTTCTGTCAGGGCAAGGTGGTTTATTCTCAATTCTAGAGGCCACATGGTTGAAGTTTTTGCAAATTTACTTCTTCATCGGTGTGAAAGGAATCACATTTCTCCTCAGAAACAATGCTTGTATTTTCTGGAATTGGAGTGAACTCAGTGGTGTAGACTTTGGAATAGGACAAGGTAGATGAAATGGCTGTGGACTGTGGCTCGGGATCCTTCACTTTCTCGTAGGTCTCCTTCCTAGCTGCCTCACCACAGCTCCACTTCCTTTGCTTACTTCCTCAGACTAAGTCGTGGTTCCTGTTTTCTATATCGTGTTTTCTCTTCTGGGATATATGTTTCACTCTTATTTCTTAGATGTTCATTTTTCACTTGATACACAAATTCTTTTTGCATACACTGCAAATATTTTAAAAATTTCTTAATTCATTTACCTCCCAGGGTTTACATAGTTTGCTATTTCTCCCACCAATTCTGGTAGCTTCATGCTTTTCTTCTGGGGAAACATTTTTCACTGTCTTTTTTTTTTTTTTCCGGGATCAGGAATCGAACTCACGGCCTCACACTTGTCAGGCAGGCTCTGTGCTGCTCGGCTAAATCCCCGGCCCACTTTTCACTTTCAAAAGATACTTTACTGTGGAATCTCAGTGTTCCAGTTTATCTTTCCCTTTTCAAGAGGTAACTTAATTACCGTACAAGGCAGATGAAGACTGAAATGTGTCTCCCTGCCTGCTGTACTAAGCACGTTGTCATTTGTGCCACTTTGTGCTGTGGAAGCTCTGTTGAGAGTCAGCATTCTTTTATGGGCTGGATCTCCACGTCTCCCACAAACCTCGTGGGCTCACAGGGTGTGGCTTCTCGGAAGTGGAAGGGTCTGCAGTCGGATGCTGGGATTTGATTCTCAGTGTGATGCTAGGGTTAAGGACGTGCGTGCTGCCCCCACGGGTAAAATGTAAGTGGCAGAAAGAGGGCTGCTGTGTCTCTACTGCTTTGCTGTTGCTGCCTTCTGCCTGCGTGGGCTGTGTCTCCTCTGTGATGCTCCTCTGCCCCGACACCCTCTGTGGAGCCCTCATGCACTGAAATCTCTACAACTGTGAGCCTAAGGAACCCTTTCCTGCCTTCAACTTGGGTGTTGGGTGTTTTGTCTCAGCAGTGAGAAAAACTGAAACATAGTCTATTTACATGTGAGCCCATGAAGACTGTCTTCCTTCTCTGTGGTCTGTCTGTCATTCTCTCTACTAACAGAGCAGTGCCCTTCAAAGTGGATTTTGAAACTGTACCCTAAATAACCTGTGACATTCCCAGGTATATTTGGTACTGAAGATATTTTTTCCTTTCTTTTTTCCTTTCATGATTGGTACCGGTCAAGTTTTGCAATTATTAGAATCAACACATTTCACATATATTTTCCTTGGATGCATATACCCATTTCTGTCCCGTATGCCACCTTTCAGGTCCCTGAGCCATAAGATAATATGGGATAATATTCCTTAATCTGATGTCACAGTTCTTAGACCTTCTCCAAAGGAAAGTGTAAGTGTCTTCATTAACTTTCCAAATGATCATTCATCACTTCTGCTTAGTGTTCAGTTAAGCCTCTGTCTATGAGAGCATGATAAAGAGTGTCTATATAGCATCAGAAAACAAAGGAATCACTACCCTAAATGTAGGTTGAGAAGAAAAGGTATTTTCTTTGATCCCGCAGAGCAATTCATCAGATACTTTTCTACTTAATTTTACTTGGATTCCGGTTTGTGGGCTCCTTCTGTGACCCACGCTTTAGTGCTTTAGTGACTTTGTAAAGTAAACCTGGGTTTCACCAGCAGGAGAAGCAGAGTCCCCACTGCACTGTTGCTTTAGTGCTGAATTCCCGTGCAGTATGAACTTCTGTGTGATGAGTGCAAGTGGATGAGAATAAGTGTTTGATGACCAAGACATGAAGTAAACATTTGAAAAACTCAGCCTCATGTGAGGGGCTGGGGATTTAGCTCAGCGGCACAGCGCCTGCCTGGCAAGTGCAAGGTTGTGAGTTCAGTTCCCGGTACCGCAAAAAAAACCCCAAAAAACAAAAAACAAAATCAGCCTCATGTGAGCTTTTTATGAGTAGAAATGAGATGTTTCGTGTCGTGAATCTCACTCTTCTTCCTGGAAATACCTGTCTGGTGATGTAGGAGGCCGTGACCTTCGAGGATGTGGCTGTGAACTTCTGCAGGGAGGAGTGGGCTTTGCTGGATCCATCCCAGAAGGAGCTCTACAGAGATGTGATGTGGGAAACCTTTAGGAACCTGGCTGCTGTCGGTAAGTATGATGCCGTTTTCTCATTTATGCACCCGGAGAGAATTGGATGGTGCTCGTCAGCAGTTTCCTTAATGGGAAGATGGAAACGTTATAAGGCATCTTCCAGGCATGGTCCATGTTACTGTGAGTCTAACTGGAATCTACTGATTTCCATATAATGTAGGAAATAATCGTTACATTTCTGTTTCTACACTTTAGGAAAGAACTCAGATGACCCACAAGTTGAAGAGAAGTACAGAAATTGGAGAAAACATCTAAGGTAATTTGTACTCAGGGAAAAAAGTCCCTTTCCTGTAAGAATATTAAACCCGAGAAAATTACACAAACAAGCCCATGTTCAAATTTCTTTAATCACACAAAATTTCTCACTGGATGTGTACACATTGAATATCTCTAATCTGCCTGTTGAGCATTTGAAATATCCCAGTATATCACACGTAGGTGTTATTCATATTATGCCAAAAGTGCCCTCACTGAAGTAATGTAAAAGAAAAAACAGGCAGATGAGTTGGTGCCTGCCTGTCATCCCAGCACTCTGGAGGCTGAGGCAGGAAAATTGCCACAAGATCCAGGCCAGTCCGGGCCATAGAGTAAGTTTAAAACCAGCCTCAACTACACAGTGAGACCCTGTCTGAAATTTAAAAATAAGCATAATTTTTGTTCCATGCTCAGGTTTGTAGACATGTTCAATGAAATTGCATTTAGGACTTGAGTACAGAATGATATACAAGAAAGTTTATGCAAACAGTGAGAGCTACATTTTAATTATGTATACATGGTTTTGAAAGACCATTTTCACATCAGACTATTTGTGATACTATATGTAGTTAAATGTGATGTACACAGTGTTTGTAAAATTGCTTATGTTGTGCATGTTATCAAAATCTAAGCAAATACTACTCTTTTTGTCACATTTATTTTCTTTTTTTTTTTTTTTTTGTCTTTTTGAGACAGGGTCTTGCTATACAGTTCAGGCTGCCCTTTAACTCACTTTGTAGCCCAGGCTGGTCTCCAACTCGCAATGATCCTCCTGCCTCAGCCTCCCAAGTGCTGGGATTATATGTGTGCACCCCATACCTGGCCCTTTTTTTTTTTGGTACTGGGAATCAAACTCAGGACGTTGTGCTTGTCGAGCAGGTGCTTGTGCCACTGAGCTATATCCGCAGCCTATTTTCAAGTAGTCTTCCAAACTCCACAGTCCATTCATGTTACAAAGTGTGAGAAGGCGCAGCCCGACGGTATTGGTGGGACTGGCAGTGTGCTATAACATCTATGGAAATGTGTGTAGACATCCCACAGAAAAGGAAAGGTAGACATTCTCTTCTGTGCAACTATACATTCATGGTGCTTTTTGAGACACAGGGTCTCACTATGTTGTGTCGCCCAGCCTCAAACTCACAGTGATTCTCCCACCTCAAGTTCCCAGGAAGACAGGCTTGCAAAATCACACCTGGCTGTATCCACCTATACTTTCACTGTGTATATTCTCCACAGTGTTAAAGTACTCATATTACGGTTGTGCTTAAATACCCATTTGTAGCAGCACAACTTAGAAAACCTAAGCTCTGGAAAAAGCAGAGGTGCACATTCACAGGTGAGTTGATTAAGGACATATGAGTAACCTGTGTATAACGAACCATGCTTGGAATTCTGGCACTCTACGAGGCTGAAGCAGGAAAGTCAGGTATCCATGCTCAGCCTAGGAAACTTAGTGACTGATGAGAATGTTTAAAATAAAAATAAAACAGCATGTGGGTGTATCTCAGTGCTAAAAACACCAAGTTGAATTTGCAGCACTGAAAAACGTGGTATGTACACATAGTGGAATACTGTTCATCCTCAAGAGTGAAGTGAAAGCATTCACCAAAATATGCATGGATCTAGAGCCCATAATGTTAGATTAAATAAGTCAGAAAGAGAAATTTCAGAATCACAAGGTATATTTTGCGTGGGAATCCCACAGCATGGATGCAGGAGTAAATAGAGATGGTGGAAGGAGAGAGGCAGACACTCTGGCGTGGGTGAGGAAGCTCAGGGGAAGGGGACAGATGCAGTCATGGAGGAAAAGGGGTCAAAAGTCGTTAATGGCCACGCATCGTGGCACACACCTGTAATCCCAGCACTCAGGAGGCTGAGGCAGGAGGATCGTTGTGAGTTCGAGACCAGCCTGGGCTACAAAGTGAGCCCAAAGCCAGCCTGAACTGCACAGTGAGACCCTGTCTCAAAAAGGCAAAAAAAAAAAAAGTCATTAATACATGGAACATGTTTCATTGGGATGTGTTTCAAATCCTCAAAATGAAAGTAAGTATTGTGTATTGCACACAGGTTGATTAGAAACTCCCACGTAAATCATACTGTTTGGGTAAACCTGGGTGCAAGCCATTGTGCAGAGTGTGCAGTAAGAGGATGATGAAATATTCTCAGGGGGCCTCAAAACAGACCTGGTCAGAGTGAATCATTACTGAAAAGACACTCTTAAATCTGATTGGTTGTTTCATTTCTCTCCCCTTGAATAGAAGTGAAGAGGTGGAGCAATCCTGTGAATGTAACTTATGGGATCATCATGGAGGAATGGTTTCTCAGGCTGCAGATCCACATGTGCACGTGGAAGTTGTTGGTGTGAAACCTGGTGACAGCCTTTCCTCTAGGAGGCCCCAGGTTGGTCCTTCATCAGCAGATGGACCCATCATAGCTAACACTGGACTCAAACCATATGAGCAGCAGGGGTTTCAAGAGAAGCTGTCTATGTGTGAGAAACATGGCAAAGCCTGCACAGAGCTGCAGTCCTTTGAGAAACATGTAAAGACAAGTCCTGGGGAGAAACCCCGTGAACAGATGCCACGTGTGAAATCGTACTCTGATTGCACTGAGGAAGGTGCCAGTGAAGAGAAGCCAGATGTCAATTCATTCCTTACACCCAGGGATGTTCAAGTCCGGGAAAGATGTCACAGTGAAGGGCATATGGATACATGTGAACCATATGGAGGAAGTTTCACTTCTCACCACGATATTCAGACACATGGAAAAGCTCACTCTGGAGAAAAAACCCATGTAAGTAAACACTATGGAAAACCCCTCACTAGTAATTCATTGGGTAATCTTCAAAGAAATCTCACTGGGGAGAAACCCTATGTATGTAACCAGTGTGGGAAAACTTTCAGTGTACAATATTTTCTTCAACAACATGAAAAGATCCACAGTGGAGAGAAACCCTTTGTATGTAAGGAATGTGGAAAAGCTTTCAGCAGAAAAAGTCATTGGCGAATACATGAACGCACTCACACTGGGGAGAAGCCCTATGCATGTAAGCAGTGTGGGAAAGCTTTCATCACACGTCGTGCTTGTCAGTGGCATGAATGGACTCACACTGGGGAGAAGCCCTATGCATGTAGGCAATGTGGCAAAGCTTTCAGCAGAATAGATACTTGGCGAAAACATGAACGGACCCACACTGGGGAAAAGCCCTATGTATGTAAACACTGTGGCAAAGCTTTCAGCAGAAAAGATAGTTGGAGACTGCATGAACGGACTCACACTGGTGAGAAACCCCATGTGTGTAAGCAGTGTGGGAAAGGCTATATCAGACACAGAGACTGTGAAACACATGTACGGACTCACACTGGTGAGAAACCCTATGCGTGTAAGCAATGTGGAAAAGCTTTCAGCAGCAAAGTAGGTTGGAAAATACATGAAAGAGCTCACACTGATGAGAAACCTTATGTATGTAAGCAATGTGGGAAAACCTTTGTCAGACGCAGCCATTATGAAACACATATATGGATTCACACTGGGGAGAAACCCTATGCATGTAAGCAATGTGGAAAAGCTTTCAGCAGCAAAGCAGGTTGGAAAATACATGAAAGGGTTCACACACAGGATAAACTCTATGTATGTAAGAAATGTGGGAAAGCCTTTGTCACACACAGAGATTATAAAACACATAGACAGACTCACGCTGGGGAGAAACCCTATGCATGTAAGCAATGTGGGAAAGCTTTCAGCACACGTCATTTGTGTCAGCAGCATGAACGTATTCACACTGGGGAGAAACCCTACATATGTAAGCAATGTGGCAAAGCGTTCAGCAGAAAAGATAATTTGCAAATGCATGAACGAACTCACAGTGGGGAGAAACCCTACACATGTAAGCAGTGTGGGAAAGCTTTCAGCAGAAAAAATCATTGCCGAATGCATGAACGAACTCACACTGGTGAGAAACCCTACACATGTAAGCAGTGTGGGAAAGCTTTCATCACACGTGGTATTTGTCAAAACCATGAATGGACTCATTCTGGGGAGAAACCGTATGCGTGTAACCAGTGTGGGAAAGCTTTCAGTGGACAGTATTTTCTTCAACAACATGAAAAGACCCACACTGGAGAGAAACCCTATGCATGTCAGGAATGTGGAAAAGCTTTTATCACACATCGTAAGTGTCAAATACATGAAAGAATTCACACTGGGGAGAGACCCTATGCATGTAAGCAATGTGGGAAAGCCTTCATCACATATTTTGCTTGTCAAAGACATGAACAGACTCACACTGGGGAGAAACCCTATGCGTGTAAGCAGTGTGGCAAAGCTTTTAGGGAGCATGGTGTTTGTCAAAAGCATGAGCAGACTCACACTGGGGAGAAACCCTATGCATGTAAACAATGTGGGAAAGCCTTTGTGACACACAGAGATTTGGAAATACATATACGCACTCACACTGGGGAGAAACCCTATGCGTGTAAACAATGTGGGAAGGCTTTCAGCACACGTCGTTTTTGTCGACTGCATGAACGTACTCACACTGGGGAGAAACCCTACATATGTAAGCAGTGTGGGAAGGCTTTCAGCACCAAAGCAGGTTTGCAAATACATGAAAGAACTCACAGTGATGAGAAACCCTATGTATGTAAGCAGTGTGGAAAAGCTTTCATCACACGGTATAATTGTCAAAGGCATGAACAGACTCACACTGGGGAGAAACCCTATGTATGTACACAATGTGGAAAAGCTTTCAGCACCAAAGCAGGTTGGCAAATACATGAAAAGACTCACACTGGGGAGAAGCCCTACGTATGTAAGGAATGTGGGAAAGCCTTCAGGAGTAAAGCTGGTTGGCAGATACATGAAAAGGCTCACACTGAGGAGAAACCCTATGTGTGTAAGGAATGTGGGAAAGCTTTCATCACACATCGTAGGTGTGAAATACATGAAAGAATTCATACTGGGGGAAAACCCTATGTGTGTAAGGAATGTGGGAAAGGTTTCAGCACACGTGATGTTTGTCAAAACCATGAAGAGACTCACTGGTGAAAACCCCTATGTATGTACACAATGTGGCACAGCTTTCAGATCACACTCAGATTGTCAAATACATGTTACAACACACAAGGAAGAAACTTTAAATATGTGCAATGTGGTAAAACCTTCAGCACAAAGTGTAAAATTAAAGAAGTCACACTGGGGACAAATCCTATGTAAGTAAGCAATGTGGGAAAGTTTTTTTGTTTTTTTTTGTTTTTTTTTTCTGGTACTGGGAATCAAGCTCAGGACCTCACACTTGCCAGGCAGGCGCTGTGCCACTGAGCTAAATCCCCAGCCCCAGTGTGGGAAAACTTTCACCAGACATTATACTTGTGAAGAATATGAAAGGACCCACACTCAGTGGAGGGAAATCCTATATATGTAAGCAGTGTGGGAAGGTTTCAGCACATGAGTTTCTCAAAAGCATGGAGGAACTCACACTGGGGAGAAACTATGTAGCCAATGTGAGAAAGCTTTCAGAGACCATATGCTTGTCTAGACCATGAAAAGACCCACAATGGAGAGAAACCCTATGTAAGCAATGTGGGAAAGCTTCCAGGGTACACAGACATTGCCAGTGACCTGTATGGACTCACTCTGGGGACAAGTAATATGTCATAAGAAATGTGGGATAGCCTTTAGCAGACACAAACACTGTCAAGAACAGTAAAGGATCCACACTCCATGAGAAATCCTACGTATGTAAATAATGGGGGAGGAGCTTTCACCGCACATTGTGTTTGTCAGAGATAAGAAGGCACTCACATGGGGGAGGAAGCCTGTGTTTTTTTGTTTTTTTGTGTGTTTTTGTGGTCTTTTTGAGACAGAGTCTCTCTACGCAGTTCAGGCTGGCCTTGAGCTCACTTTTTAGCCCAGCCTGATCTCCAACTCGCAACGCTCCTCCTGCCTCAGCCTCCTGAGTGCTGGGATTACAGGTGTGTGCCACCACGCCCAGCAAGGAAGTCTGTGTGTGTAAGCAACGTGGGAAAGCTTTCAGCTCACATCGTCATTGTCAAAGACATGAAGGGATTGCTTCATTGGAAAGAACTGGGATGAGGGAAAGAAGGAAAGGAAAAAGGAAGGGAAATACACACACACGCGCACACACGCGCACACACACACGATAGCTAAGATAGTTATACTCATTTCTATTGGTTTATTGAAAGGAACAGTTAATGTTTAATTGATCAATCTTGCATACCTATATCTGGTAATCTGAACAACTACTTTAAAGATAACAAATAATACAACCATTGTTGATTTCCTGTCATCTTGTTTTAAAATTCTGTATTGTTTTTATAGTTTTTGTGCTTTTCTCTTTGAAACATAAAGACCTGAAGAGACACAGGTTTGAAGTGCTGTTATGGAAGCAATGTGCGAGTGCATTCGGTACACAGATGTATGGTCAAATACACGAAATCAGTCACACCTGGAGGCAAGGCTGTGGAAACAGGAAGAGCCCCTGTGCAGCGAGCATCATGCACATTAAGAAGGGACAATACAGCAACTGAATATATGAAGTGACTTAGATACGAACCAGACTGAGGAGAAGCTTTTCTTCTCAACAGCGTAAAACCTCTTCCAGGCCACATATCACTGCATGCATGAAAGAATTCGTACTGAGGAGACCTGTAACATGTGATCAAAGTGGGTATTTTTTAACTAACTCAAATACAGCAAAGAACTCACAGGATAGGACACATTATATACATGGAAACTCTTCAGTTCTCCCACTTACCTTAAAATATATGAAAGAACTCCCACTAAAGAGAAACCCTGGGTAAATAATGTGAGAAAGCATTGTGTGATGCCAGTATCATCAGAAAACATTGAAATTCATGAGGGTTAATATAAATACAGATCATGAGATTCAAATCAATGTTTATTACATGGGACCTCCTGTAGCCATTTTGGTGTAATGCAGAAAAAAACCCCTAATTTGAGAAACCATTAATTTTGGTGTTGTACACAAGTTAATTTTCCTGCATGCAACGATTGTGGTATTGAGACCCTGTGAATGTACAAAGGTCTCAGTTATATTTTCTAAATCCTCTGCCCCTGCCTGGCAAGCGCAAGGTCATGAGTTCGATTCCCAGTACTGGGAAAAAAAAAAAAAAAAAAAAAAAAAAAAAAAACCGAAAAAATTCATAAATCCTGATTGCTTCTTATACAGTATAAAC